TGTGCTTGACACAATGGATGTATGTATGGATTGTGACAAGAGTTGCACGAGCCCACAATAAAATTATTTTAAAAAGAAGAAAAAAGAATTATGTTTTCAGAAGAAATGAAATATTAAAACTCCAAACGAAGAAAGTTGTTGTTGGAGATTTCTTAAACATCGGAAACTTTTGTTTCATTTTCAGTCTCTGCCTCTTCCAAGCTCCTTGTAATGCTTCCAGAATTTAAACTACTCGGTGAAACAAATAGAGCTAGTTCTCTAAGAAACCTTAATTAATGCAGTGAAAACACCTGCGGATTTTGTCGTATTTCTGACGTGCTTGCTCTTTCTCTAAAATAATCGGTGACTGAGTCTTAGAACCTGGTTCAGAAAAGCACTGCTCACTTGGTAACTGTGGGAGTGTATGTTGTGCCCATGGCTAGAATGAGACTATCTAATAAAGTAAAGCACTGTTCCTAAATGCGTCCAGGAAAATTGGGCTCTAATGAGATCTTCCTAGTTCTGGGGCAGATTCTGCTGGGGGGATCAGGCTCTGAGGTATGCCACTGATGTAATCACACCCCGCTCTCTTCCCTTCTTAAAAGCTGAACATTGGTTTACCCCTTGCGTCTCGCCATTCCTCTGAAGACAAGACACAGCACCACACCTGAAGCTTCCCCTTGCGTTCGGTGAGGTAGGTAGAGCTGGTTACAATAAATACTTCCTTCTTTACGACTTTGAAGCTTCATTAAAAAACCAGAGGATGTTTCCTTATGTCTTGCTGCTGCTCGGAGATGAGATGCTGATGTTCGCATGGCCCACTGTGGTGGCTAGGCATTAGTTGGTAAGCAGTGTGGTGGGGAGTGGGTCTGCCTGTGAAGTGCTTTCAGGTTAGTGTCATTTTTCTTCCTCAAGGTCATGAGTGGGATCCCACATTTCCAAATAGTCCAGGTTCTTAACAGCTGTGAGAGAATTCTATGAGGTCTATGTTTAAAGTGTAGCACTACAGGAGGACAGAAGTTCAGCTTCCTGGTAATTGGAGCAAGAGTTACATGGAAAAAAAAAATGTTTCCCCATTTAAAAGTGTTATTGAAACCATAGATTTATATTTTGATGAGGACATGTAGTAGAAATAGTTGGCCATGTTTATTTGTATTTGAGGAGTGCTTTATTTCCAAGCAATACAATGTTGTTGCTTTCTCATCTCTGTGTTTCTCTTAGATTTGCAACAGAATGGATATTCAAAATGCCCCAACTTCCAAATGTATCACTTACTGGAAAAGGAAAGTTAAATCTGAATACATGCGACTTCGACAACTTAAACGACTTCAGGCCAATATGGGTGCAAAGGTACAAAATACAAGTTCCAAGTGAAAGGTTGTACATTGTAACTATATAGAGTATGTTGATTCAATGTGTAATGGTTGGAACCCCCTTTGGTCATTTTAGTTGTTTTTTAACTCTTGCTGTGAAATCTTAGCAGTCTTCTCTTGTCTGTGCCAGGCTCTGTATGTCTCCAATTTTGCGAAAGTTCAAGAAAAAGCTCAGCTCCTCCATGAAGAATGGGAGAAGCTTCGTGTCCAACCTGTTCAGCGGATGAAGCCTGTGGGTGGGCACCCTTTCCTCAGAAAGGTACTGGTGGCTGCAGCTCAGCCGTGCTCGCTACCTGGGCCAAAGTTGCGAATAACTAGCCGCTATCCTCTAAAGAATAACCTTTCGTCTTGTTTTCTTCTCAGTCGGTGTGCTCATGAGTCTAGCATAGAAAACATCAGGCCTTGGCCACCTCCTCTCCTGAGCTCTGTGCCCAAGCTCCACAGCCACCACTTTTGTTCCTGGCTTGGTCTCCGAGGCGCTTAGCTACTGGGAAAGGAGGGCCTCGGGTACTGTTTGGGGCATATTGATGAAAAGTGTAGCCTTTGTGGTCCATACAAAAAGGGCATTCTAGCTTCTTTTAAAAATGACTACTTCCCAATATAAAAAAGCAGATAGTATAGTAAGTGTAACTGTCCTTCCCAAAGCATAGGCATCTTCATTACTCTGAACAATTCTGCTTCCCTCTGCCCTGTGGCCATCCCCTGTGCGGCTGAGCGGATGTCCACTGGGTTTAAGTTTATACCCCCAGGAAAACACCCTCATCTCCTCCTCATCTCCCTGGCCTTTCAGAGGCCCGCTGCTCGTATGCCTGCCCCAAGGAGAGCAACAAGTTGAGATTGACTGAGCATCAGTGGAGTCACGATAGCAGGCACTGTGATAGAAAACTTGCAACCATCCCTGTCACCATCGGCATGATGCCGACTCGAGGTGATCCTGCAGGACGGGGTAGAACCTGCTCCTTAGGGTGTCCAAGGCTGTGATTTCCACCTCACCTTTCACATCTGAGGTCAGGTTTCAATCACTGACCTCTCTGTGAGGAGCCCAATGCTTAACCCCTGTGCCACCAGGGCTCTCTGTACCGGGATCTGAAGGTAATAAGAGACAGCTCCTGCTTCCCACAGGCTTACAGCCTCATGCTTCCTTTTTTGGAGCAAATCGTCCCAAAACCTCAAGCTTATAAATGTTCAAGAGTTAGAAGACAACAGGGCTCCTTTTGGGAGGAAACTACAGTTCTCTCTTGGGTTACAAGCTTGCCTTCTTGTGTCTGTTGTTGCTGCTTCTCTTTTCAGTGTACCATCGAGAGCATGTTCCCAGGATTTGCAAGCCAGCATATGTTAATGAGGTCCCTGAACACAGTTGCATTGGTCCCCATCATGTACTCGTGGTCCCCTCTCCAGCAGAACTTCATGGTAGGCATGGAAAGAACGGTGGTGGTGGTTACAGCTCCGACTCTCCCAGTGCCGGGCATTGTCAGCATCTTGGAGGGCAGGAGGCTCGTGTGATGGATATATATTTTAAATATACATTTATTGCAAAATTCAGCAACAGCAAAATATATTCATGCACATATATTGCAAAACATGCTAACTTGTTGAGATTTGGTATTCTCTGAAGTGAGCTTCTGAGGTGACGCTGGTTCTGTTTTAAATGACAGAGACTGGGCAGAACTCTAATTTTCACTTACTGCGTTGGCCAGCGTGGGACATCCTGTAGAATTAAACCCTATCTGAATCAGCCCCTGTCTAAATCATCTCCCTGCTGATGAGACAGCCCTTTCTGAACACCCTAAAGACAGATGATATGAAAACAACTGAGATAACAAAGGGGCACGTGGATCTACAATTATTTTATCATGCTGGTTCCCACTGAAGTTGTTTGTGGTTCTGATAACCCATGCTCTCTAAATAACGAGCAGTGCTTATCATGTGCCTGTGACAGCAATTCTGCTGACTGGAAGAGGATATAGCCTTACTGAAGGGAGTCATCTCTTCTCAGTATACAATTTCAATGTAGTAATTCTACTTGCTACTTGGGGATTTGAGGATGATTGTGTTCTCTGATAAACTGAAGTGGGTGTGTGCGGTGAGGGAATCCTCTACTATTATTTATATCAGGAAAATACCTGTAGTTCATCCTGCAATTGACTTTAGGTCCCCATTGAGAGCAGTTGACATGAGTTAAAGTTTTTACTATTGGACAGGTTAGTCTTAGTCTGTTTATAAAATATCCAGAATTATCATAGTTGCCTTGTGTCTCTTCTAAATATTCTAGTTATTTTATAAATCATACTATTCTCTGTCATTCATTTGTCTATCTACTTATGAAAATAATTTAAATGAACCTATAGGGACAGCAAGTAGAAGAAGGAGTTCAGGGGGAGCGGGTACAGTGGTAAGGGAGGTTTAAAAATGAGACGATGTCAAGGAGTCCCAGTAGAATACAAATGTCTGGAAACTGATTGTGGCAGCAATTGTACATTTTACTTGGCGTGATTGAGCTATGGAATGATACGATATGTGTATTAAGCCAAACGAATAATAATCATAATAAAAGAATGTAAGACTTTTTAGACTGTTGTTCAGGTGATATTAATACTTTGTTTACAGTCATGTTTAATAGTGATAAAATGAGGTTATGGGTGGGAGCAATGTTGAAAAGAAACATGCTATCAGATTCCAAGTGTTAGTGGAACTACTATTATTAGTATCAAGCTAAACTTTTGGTTGCTAGCTTAATCATCAAATAATTAAACTCTTTTTCCCCTTCCATTTAAGATTTTGTTGACAAAACAAAATAGCCAGTCTTTGCAAGGTAGAAAATGGCACTTTCAGTAAATCAAGAAGCAACATTGGCTCAGCAAAGAATCCATTAAACAGGAAAGAGGAAATGCGTAGTGGCTCGTAGAATGAATGAACTACATGTGGTTTCATTTCAGGTGGAAGATGAGACTGTCTTGTGTAACATTCCGTACATGGGAGATGAGGTGAAGGAAGAAGATGAGACTTTCATTGAAGAGCTGATCAGTAATTACGATGGCAAGGTCCATGGCGAAGAAGGTACTGGTGCTGGGCCCTGGAAGCAAACTGTTAGGGCACACTTCTCATTTATCTGAATGGCTAGGTTCCAAAGGCCAGATTGTCAGGCAAAAATATGTGAAAATGGAGGATGACCACATCATACTAGAAACTGGAAAGCAACTACATCATTACATAACTGCCAGATTATATCATTGCACAGCGATCGAACTAGTCATGGCCCAGCCCCACGGACATGTCATCTTAACCATCACAGTCAGCATTGCTTTTGCGTCTCACGTCAGCGTTTGTTTTTGTTTGTTTTGTTTCTCTTAATCAGAATTTTCTTTTTCTAATCATTTTATTAGGGGCTCATACAACTCTTATCACAATCCATCCATACATCAGTTGTGTAAAGCGCATTTGTACATTCATTGCCCTCATCACTCTCAAAACATTTGCTCTCCACCTAAGCTAAGCCCCTGGCATCAGCTCCTCATTTTTCCCCTCCCTCCCTGTCCCCCCTCACTTTAGCGTTTGTGTCTGTTCAGACATATGCTGTTACTGTGCACATGGTAAATAGATAATCCATGGTTTTTACTATGGTTGAAAATATGGAATGTCAGATGGAAAGATGGTCATCGATAAGTGAGGCGGGAATACACTGCCGTGCCGTCTTGCTCTTGGCGGCTGCCCTTCGGCTGCGAAAGAAGCCCAGACCTGCCATCAAGTCAAGTCCCACTCGGGCATTGCTGGCCTTTCGGTTGGCAGCCTGTTTGTAGCCCACTCTGTATACCACCAGGGCTCCTGCCCGCCTCTGGGGCACTCAGGAATTTTTAATGTCATCATGTGGCTGTGAGTTACATTTGTATATTAAGAATATCCCAGTTAATTTTTTTAAGTTTTAAACGGGTGATAATAGTAATCAGTGACCAGCGAGAAAGTTCCGTGAGCAAAATGTTCAGTCAGCCGCCTTGTTCCCCTTGAACGTAACCTCCATCATACTTGCTTGATACTGGCACCCTCGGAATTCTCCAGTTGATTCCAGTGTCGGAATAGTAGCAAGTCGCTGGGGATTTATTGTCGCTTTGGAAAAGGCTGTCCGTGTGCAAGAAGTGGGGAAATGGGGGAGACTCTTGAAGTTTAAATCAACAGCCCCTTCTGCTCTGCAGACACACTGTAAGTGCTCTCGTGATGCTGCTGAAATGCATTACGGGTCCACAGCTCCCCCTGGCGTTGAAAGAAATAACTTGTGGTCTTCAAGAAAAAGTTCCAAAAGTCGCTACTGACTGACTCATCAGCTATAAGGTCCCAATGAATTTTTGGCTTTTAAATTTGAGTTCCTTCCTGGTCCCACTTGTGGCTGTTTGCACACTGCTGTGAGGTTTCTGACCATAAATACAGGGTTTGTGGCTGAGCAAGTAAACCGCCCTAGTCAGAATATAAGTGGATTTCATTAGATCTGCTTTACCCAGCTGACCTGTTGCACTTGTAAGAGCCAAACAAACGATGTCAGTCCTCTGATTGTCCAGATAAGAATTTAAATATGTTACCTATCTGGAAAATGTGTTAGCTAGCCAGCCTTCCTAGAAATATCCGCGGGCCATGGAAGGAGCACTGCTCACCCGTCTAATCTTCCTGTTGCAGAAATGATCCCTGGATCCGTCCTGATCAGTGATGCCGTTTTCCTGGAGTTGGTAGATGCCCTGAATCAATACTCGGATGAGGAGGAGGAAGGGCACAATGACACCTCAGATGGGAAGCAAGACGACAGCAAAGGAGACCTGCCGGTCACAAGAAAGCGGAAACGACACGCCATCGAAGGCAAGCAGCACCGCCGCCTCCTCCCGCGTGGACAGCGTGCAGGACGAGGGAAAGCAAGGAGGGCTACTTGCTTAGTAACGGATCGGGAGCTTCTCCTTGGCCCAGTTAAAAGGGAGACACAGTCACGGAGAGCCTGAGACAGCTGTAACCCCGCTAAGAGGAAAGTAGCCGAATGCACTCACTGTTCTTCCAGCTACAAAAGCAATGTGTGTAGAAAACATGAAAAATTGCAAAGGAGAAATTAAAGTTCGCTTTAATCCTCCTAACTAGGCATACTCAGCATTAACCTTTTGTTCTCCTGTGCTTCACACCTACACACGTACAAACTCACCACCCACTTGACAGAAGAATGAGGATATCCCCATAAAGATTTAAAGCCTCGGAACTTTATGTTGGGGCTCTATGAGTTGGAAGCAGCCAGAGGGAGTGCGGTTTGGTTTTTCGTGTTAAATCATCTTTTCCAGGGCACCGCGTTTCTCTAGACTTTCACTTATAGTCACAGCATAATTATATCAGTTTTCTTCTTCCGTATCAACAGTACGATAGGATTCTTCAAGATTCAGGTCTCTCCTGTTTCCACCTCCAGAGTCTAATTGGGACTGTGGGTTTAATTGCTAATAGTAGACAACTCTGACTTTCTCCTTTCCTGGTGCCCAACGTGGGACACGTGCAGGTAGCGTTGACCTTCACGTATGCCCCAACAGTCAGTGGTCAGGCTGATGGTAGCAGCTCTTGTCAAAATGCAAAAGCAAATGCAGGCAAGCAGCCTGTTTGCTCTGTTGAGAGCACACGTGAGCTTTCTGTCTTCTTCCATTCAGGCAACAAAAAGAGCTCCAAGAAACAGTTCCCAAATGACATGATCTTCAGCGCCATCGCCTCCATGTTCCCCGAGAATGGGGTCCCAGATGACATGAAGGAGAGGTAGGCACAGCTGCCCACTCAGGCCATTTACAGGCACTCGGATACAACTTTTCTCCAAGCTGATTTTTGTTGTTGTTGTTGTTGTTAATAAGCAGCCCTTGTGGTAAGTACATTAAGATTTGCTTGTTCTTCTGATTATTTTTGTCCTTACTTGCTGACTTCTAAATGCCTCTTCCTATGTAAGGGTCACTGTTTACTCTCAGTCTGGGCAGAGAAATTTTCTTCTACCACTTTTGCCGAGAGTTAGTCTCACATCATCCTTACCAAAGATTTCCCTTTCTTCCCCACCCCCGATTTCCCCTTCTTTGTAGGCACACGCCCAGCATAATCCCAGTGGTGCACCCACTTGTCCCTAAGTCCCTCATCTACCACGGGTGAAAAACATCCATCCTATGTTGGCAGACCACCTTTAGACTCTCAGGCCTCAGTTGAATTTTCGCGGACATTTCCCTGGAAGGAACTCTTCTCTCTCTCTCTTCTTGGATAGGTATCGGGAACTAACAGAGATGTCAGACCCCAACGCACTCCCCCCTCAGTGCACGCCCAACATCGACGGCCCCAACGCCAAGTCTGTGCAGCGGGAGCAGTCTCTGCACTCCTTTCACACGCTTTTCTGCCGCCGCTGCTTTAAATACGACTGCTTCCTTCACCGTGAGTGGGGCCCTGGGTGTGAAATGCCGTTTTCTTTCTCCTCCTCGGAGTCCCCCCGTTTCCTCCACTTAGTCCCAGTCTATCATGTAGACCTCTGGGCTCTGGTCGGACGGACGATGGCTTTACGAAAGGCTTCACTTGTCGCGTTATGATTGTCCCTCACTGCCTCCTCGCTCTGTGTTGGTAGCAGCAGTGACAAGCTGCTGTGTGCCCGTGGATAGCTGTGGATCTCAAATTCCAACTCCTGCAATAGCTCCCCATCCAACTCTGCTCCTGCCCCACCCGTCCAGTGGATGGACCACTGGAAACACTACCCTTTGTATTTTCCAGCTTTCCATGCCACCCCTAACGTATACAAACGCAAGAACAAAGAGATCAGGATTGAACCAGAGCCGTGTGGGGCAGACTGCTTCCTTTTGCTGGTACGTCATAAGCCGTCCTAGCGCTGTTAGCTCTGTTGACAATGGTGCACGAAACGGTGCTGGGGCTGTCTGCCCTGGGGAACACGAGCCAAGTGATTGAGCACAGGGCTCTTTAAGACAGAAATTACAAATAAAACGTGCGTCCTGCTCTTAGGGAGCGCCCCAGACACTGGGGCGGTGGGGCGGTTGCTGTGGCATGAACGTTGAAGAGCACCAAAGGTTTTGTTCTCAAAGATTGCCCCTCTGATTGAGAGTCTACACTGTTGTGAGGACTGGGGTCAGGTGTGTGTGTGTTTGTGTGTCACTGCATTTTCATGACTGTCTTCCAGTGTACATGCACAACCATAGGAGAATACCACATCCGGGTGCTGATGCCTCAGTGTGAGGTGATCAGTCCCATAGACGAGTCCCTGAAGGACAGACCTCCGACCTTATGAGGCACCTTGCCTGCCTCTGGGTAACTGAGGGGAGGCAGTTCACTGACAGCTGGAAGGGAATGGAGAGTTCAGACTTCCCAAAGACACAGTTTCATTTTCTGTGCAATAGGTTAGAGACAACAGAAAGGCACCTCGAACATTTCTACCACCAAGTAAAATTAGCCTAGGAAGTCAGGTACCTTTGGGAATCATCTTTTGTGGCCAAGTGAAAAGAATATATGCTGAGCCACGAACCCAAGAAGGTCGGCTATATGAAGACTGAAGGAAGGCTTCTTAGTGACTGACATGTGCCGATGACAGCCTGGCTCGCTCGCGGAAAGTGAGGAGGACTTGAAGCACTTGCGGATGAAGACCCAGGACTGCAGCCCGCCCTCAGGATAGTCTGCATCTCTATGTAAAGAGAATGAAGATCCTCATAACACCAATAGACAACACCGCGACAGACAAAAGATGGAAGTTGTCGAGGATTTCATCTTGCTTGGATCTGCGATCAATGCTCATGGAAACAGCAGTGAAGAAAGCAGATGACATATTGCATTGGGCACCTCTGCTGCACAAGACCTCTGTAAAACGTGAAGAGCTAGCAAGGATGTCACTCTGAGGGACTAAGGTGTGCCGTAGCGTTTGTTTTCAGTCGCCTTCTGTGCATGTGAAAGTTGACAATGAATAAGGAAGTCCGAAGAAGTATTAATGCATTTGAGTTATGGTGCTGTCAAAAACTCTTGGAAGTACTGTGGGAAAACAAACAAATCTGTCTTGGAATAAATACAGCCAAAATACTCCTTAGAAGCCAGGAGGGTGACGCTTTGCCTGAAACATTTTGGACATGTTATCAGGAGATGCTTGGGAAAGTCGAGAGTCAGTGGACAAGGGGAAAACTCTCCAGGAGATGGAGTGACACCGACCGGAGCAACCACACCCACCCAAACACCGCGAGAGTGAGAACGATGCAGGACCAGGCAGCAGCAGCAGAAATTAACTTGGGGCCGTAGTTATCTTTATGTTAGACGTTCCAGGTTCGAAAATATTTGATTAGAAAATGAAAAAAAAATGATCTTGGGTTCTTTACCTCCGGACTCAATTACCTTTGGAAGGTCTCTGGAATGTCCTTCAGAGCGACAGTGTGTTACTCGGGATGCCTCATAACGGCAGACTCCTGGCTTTACAGTTGGGCATAGTTTTCAAAAACAGCTAGAAATCATTGCGAACCAAGTCTGATGAGAAGCTAGATAGCAAGTTAATGAATGCAGTTATGTTGTATAAAAAGAGGAAGTGGGGCCATGGCTATAAAGTAATGAAGTCGTGTTCAGTGTTCACTGAAGTTTCACATCCTGGCCGCTGGTTTAAGTGGTGATGTTGTACACATTCAGAGAATATACAATGTACTGTTGAGCCCGAAGCAGGGTGATAGAGTGTCAAGAGCAGCTGCACGGGACTCAGAAGCCCTGATCCGGAATAGTTCACTCTCTACCCTGCAGCAGGTTCCCTCCCCTCTCTGGACCTCCTTCCCCCACCGGTAGGAACGGGTATGCTCACAATCAAAACCGCTAACATGCACATGGATTTAAAGCACAGCTCACTCCAAGGTTGAAGATGCATAGGCTGTGTCTCTTCAGAGATTCTAAGATAGCTCTTTGATGGAGAACTGTATGTCTTGGAGCCCTTTTTTGGTTCTGCGGCCACACCCAGGGTGGACGGCGTAGGGGAGCACAGACAGTAGCCTTGCACTTAGGACAGGTGTTGAGGGAAATGAAGGTTTGCGATCCTGAGGTCAGTAGGACAGCATGGGGCCTGCCCCCGTCCCCTGTCTGTACCGTGTCCGTTGCAGGAAGGAGCCAAGGAGTACGCCGTGCTCCACAACCCTCGCTCCAAGTGCTCCGGTCGGCGCCGGCGCCGGCACCACGTGGTCAGTGCTTCCTGCTCGAACACGTCTGCGTCTGCCGTGGCCGAGACTAAAGAAGGGGACAGTGACAGGGACACCGGCAATGACTGGGCCTCCAGTTCTTCAGGTGCAGTGTGCAGAAACACAGACCCATTCCTTGACGTCTAAGGACGTTCTGCCTGACACTTTATGGCATTACCTATGAAAGCCTGCCTGTCGACGGAGTGTGTGGCAAACGAATGACAGTTGCCTTCCACCGTGTTCTTTTCCTGTTTGCTTTCCCCAGAGGCTAACTCTCGCTGTCAGACCCCCACGAAGCAGAAGGCAAGCCCCGCCCCACCCCAGCTCTGTGTCGTGGAAGCACCCCTGGAGCCTGTGGAATGGACCGGAGCTGAAGAATCCCTTTTTCGCGTCTTCCATGGTACCTACTTCAACAACTTCTGTTCAATAGCCAGGCTCCTGGGGACCAAGACGTGCAAGCAGGTATGTCTGAGAGCAGCCAGCAGGCACCCGGGCCCTCCCCCCATTGGTCTGGCCTCTGCCATCGGGGAAGGCTGCGTGTCAGCAGAGGTCGTTTAAGGTTCGGTCCTGTGTGCGTCTGTGTCTCTGGGCCATGGAGTGGGTCCCCCAAGAAGGGGGCCCTTTGCAGACACCAGGCTCAGCAAGGTGCAGGCAGCTGCTCTCTTCCTTGGTGAATTTTTATTCCTTTGTCCGACTACTGGCTATCGCGGCTGGATCTTTCTATACTTGAAGCTGTTGCTGCTGCTGTTTTGCTGTTGTTGTTGTGTTGGTCCTTGCCTTTCTTTCTCAATGTTTACTCCTTTGCTTGAAAGGACGCCCAGATCTTCTCTGGGTGCTCTTTTTCAGCACTTTGCTCTCTGCCCACTGCAGCTGCTCCAGCTGCTGCTCCCCGTCATCGGCCTCCTCAGTTGATTTTGTCTCCAGTGTTTCCATCACGAGATGTTCTCTTTACCACCCCTAGTGGCTGGGCCTGGACCTGCCACTTCTCACTCAGCCCAGCAGGAGGCAGACTTTGATCTCAGCCTCTGAGGCTCAGGAGGCCGGACATGACGAGGAGGACGGACAGGGAGTGGTGGACCACAAGGTGCCCGAGCTTGAGCTCTGTTCACATGCTTCCCTGCTCTCTGGAGGAGGCCCAGTGACCTCCCCTTCACCAGTCCTTTGCTTAAAACAAGTGAAAAAACAAACACGAGTTGAAGTGCCTTTGCTTTCTTTCTGGAACTCATGTCTCTTTCCCCAAGGCGTGCATTCTTAACCTACAAGTCCATGTTGTTGTATGCAGGTGTGTGCGTGCACACGCGCACGCGCATTCCTGAGAAGAGAATTTAGAGTTTCCACAGAATCATGAAGAGGTCTAGAACCAAAAGAGAAAAGCTCAGAACAGTAAAGGGGGAACCAGCCTTTCTGAGGTGCGGTCCCACGCAGTCGAGTAGTGCTGACAGATTTCTACAACAGAGGGAGTGAGTGCTTAGAGCGCCAGACAGGTAGGTCCCTCCGTGCTGTGTGGTGGATTCGGACTGTGCCCCTGAGAACAAGGTAGACCACCCTGTGGACAAGAGTAGAAGCCGCCTCTTTCTCCCATGGAGCTGGCAGAGGCTTCCAACTGCTGACCTTGCCGATTGTTACCAAACCCAAGCTCACCGCCGTCGAGTAGCTGCTGGCTCAGAGTGACCCTGTAGGACAGGGGAGAACTGCCCGGTGAGTTTCCAAGACTGTAACTCCTGACAGGAGTAGAAGCCCTGTCTGTCTAACCCCTTACCCACCAAGGGGAAAAACAACAAAACAGCCACTGTTATGAATTGATGCGGACTCATAGCAACCCTGTAAGGCAGAGTAGAATTAGCCCGGTGAGTTTCCAAGACTGTAGCTCCTTACTGAGATAGAAAGCCTCCTCTTTCTCGTGTAGAGTGGCTGGTGGGTTTGAACTACTGACCTTGCTTTTAGCAGCCTAACATGTAACCTCTGTAGCACCAGGACTCCTAGTGGGCCACCAGGGCTCCTTACAACCAAACTTAGTTGCCATCAAGTTATCTCAAACTCACTGACCATGAAACCAAACCAAGCCCATTGCCACCGAGTCTATTCCGGCCCGTAGGACAGAGCAGAGTGTTGTGAGGCTGTAAATGTTTATGGGCTCACACAGCCCGTGCCTAACACACAGCATCACAGGTCTTAAACTCAGGCACACAAGGTGCACAAAGTTGCCCTACCGAAGAGGCAGCTCCTGTTGGGGAGAGTCAGGGCAGCCAGTCCATGGTTCCGTATAAAGAGCAGGTTAAAGCCGCTGACCAGAGAACATGTTGCTGTGCCCAGTATGTTTCCCTCCCCAAGTCAGGATAAATACTTCAGCATTAACGTCCAAGCCAGTGGGTGAGTCGACATTCCAATACCAATCTGTCCCTGCCCCCTCAACCGCCCAGGAGCTCGCCAGAAGCCTCCAAGCCCATCCATCCAGCTCCTGGCTGGCTGGTGTCGCTGGACCACCTCACTGGAGAAGTGACAGGTCCCGTTTGGGTTTTTCTTCCAGGTATTTCAGTTTGCAGTCAAAGAATCCCTCATCCTGAAGCTGCCAACAGATGAGCTCATGAACCCCTCGCAGAAGAAGAAAAGAAAGCACAGGCAAGGGGGGAGGGGGGTGCGGGGGGACAAAGGGCTTTTTGTGACAGTGCAGTTCCTTGTGCTCTGACTGTCCCTTGAACTTCACATCTGTCTCCCTCCTAACCATTGCCCGAGGCCATGTGATGTCCATCCGTGGAGCATTACATAACTAAGGGCCGTCCTCCTCCATGCTCCCTGGGACCTGTGCCCTACATCAGCCTTGCTGCCACCCTGGCCCCACCCTCAGATGCTGTGGACCACGCTGAGTGTGTCTGGTTTCCATGTGCGCCCCTGGCCCTGCCCTGTGGGCCAGCTCCCTCTCCTTGTTAGGTGTTGGGTGCCCACTTCCCCACTCTGGCCAGAGGGGTTTCTCGGCTTTGTTTTTTGGCTCTCCTCTCTCGTTGCGCAATAGCCCTGTCCTCCAGCTCTCCCTGTCTTGAGCCAGGGGAATGGTGGTGGTGGTTGTTTCTAAGCTTTGGCATTTGGCCCGGCATGGTTCCTTAATAGCTTTGGCCTATCACAGGGAGGCGCTGGCGCCTGTGCCAGAGCTAGAAGGGCATTCCTGTTGCTTTCCCCTGTACTTCCTTTCACTCAGAGGCTTCTGAGAGGGATTCTTACCTCTTTCTCTGGAGGATCTTCACAGCCCCACCTCCACCTCCTATACTGCTTCTGTGTGTTTGCTGTTTCATGTTCTTGTCTGCCTGATTGCAGGGGGAGGTCTTGTGCACTGTTCAGTTTAAATCTTGCTACGTAAGTCACCTGGATTTAGGATAGACTCTCTTTTCTATGTGAGGGCACTGCTTCCAGAGTAAGGGCCTCCTGTGAAGGGATGTGGGGGTGATCTACCCCAGTCCACCCCCAGAGCCGCTCACATTGTCCCGTTTTCTTTTCCAGGCTGTGGGCCGCGCACTGCAGGAAGATTCAGCTGAAGAAAGGTGCGTTTCACCAGGGCCTTCTCGGGCAGTTCCCTCAGCCACCCCTTCGCCCCACCTGCAGCGGCCCTTGCTGACCCCGAGCTGCTTCCACCCACTGCAGTTTCCCTGCAGCAGCCAAGAACAGCTCAGCTCCCTACTGCAGCGGAGACCTTTGGGGAGGCAGAGCTAGGGCCCTTGTGGTCACTAACTCTCCCAGCATGCCATTTAGCACATGCAGGGCCTCAGCGAATGTGTACAACTGCCCTGTCTTCTTGGGCCCTCCCCCCACTCTACTCAAATGCACTCCTCTTTCCCCCGACCCTGGCCCTGCCAGAGTGGCCTGTGAAGAAGCAGCAGAAGGTTTCATCTCACTTCGGGCCGACGATGTGAGCAGGCTGATGGTTAGAGCCAGCCTCCTCTGAACGGGACAGGCGGCCACTGGGAGGGAGGGCTGCTAGCGAGCGTCTCCCGCACCTCCAGGGTCTTCTGCTCTCTCCTAGATAACTCTTCCACCCAGGTGTACAACTACCAGCCCTGCGACCACCCAGACCGGCCCTGTGACAGCAGCTGCCCCTGCATCATGACTCAGAACTTCTGTGAGAAGTTCTGCCAGTGTAACCCGGACTGTAAGCATCCCGCCTTCCCCCGACCGCTTCCCACTGGCAGCCGCGTGTCCTTCCCTTCTCCTGCCCCCCAGCTGTGTCGGACCTCAGCATGTTTTCTGTGCTGCCTTTTGGAAATCCAACAGAGGAAACAAGACACTTTGGACCCAGCAACATCAGAAACCAAACCAAACCTTTTTGCTTACAGTTCTAATGCTTTCCCCAGCTTTACTTCCCAGGGAAGAATTAGGAAACGTGAAAATCTTTTCCCTTACATATAAGTATCGTCTCCCTCTGCAGAAAATCTCTTTTTAAAAGGTGATTTAAAGGAATGTTTTTTCCTCTTAGGTTACAATTCCCTGTCTATTTTAGTTCTCTGTTAATGGCGGAAGTGCTTGATGTCCCTAGGAGACAGGTAGAAGCTGAAAGGGCTTCTCTCTCACTTTTCCTTCCCTACAACGGCTCAGCAGCGTGGTGGCACCCAGGGCTTGCAGAACCGGGTGCCCAAGCAGTTGTGTCAATATTTTCTAGCGCAGAGCAGATACTAATCTTGGCCACAGCAGAGGGTGGAGGGAGGAGGGCGCTTACAGAACGGATGTGTTTTGTTCTCAGAATGACAGTCTTTCTGATGGGGAAGACTTACCAGTGAAAAACCCTGATTTTCTTTTCTCTGGACCACGGCCCACCTCCTTTAGAAAGTCCAGGAGCAAAGACCCAGGCAGAGTGTTGTGGGGGTTCTCAGGAGCATGCCTCCTCCGGAGACAGCCCTCCATGCTTCGGCCGCACTGTTGGGAGATGTGCCCTGTTCTCTAGGGGAGCCCTGGGGTGTGATCACTGGGAAGGAGCGCTCTGTCCTGCTCTGCTGAGCACCCTTGGACAAGGGACAGTGACTTCCCCGACGCCCTGCGTCCTGCCAGCCCCAGCTTAGCCTGCTTCTCTCCCCAGGCCAGAACCGCTTCCCAGGCTGCCGCTGCAAAACCCAGTGCAACACCAAGCAGTGTCCGTGCTACCTGGCCGTGCGGGAGTGTGACCCTGACTTGTGTCTCACTTGCGGGGCCTCAGAGCACTGGGACTGCAAGGTGGTTTCCTGTAAAAACTGCAGCATCCAGCGCGGCCTCAAGAAGGTGAGGGCCCTGTTCGGGGCTCTGGCCCAGAGTCCGAGGTGGGGAGGAGTGGCCCCGAGCATACTACCTACCCACAGGTCCCCAAGAGGCCTGACAGGTGGACCCCGACCAGAAAGCCGGCCCAGAGTGGCCTTGTAGGCAGGGCAGCGGTGCCTACGGGGTCTCCAAGGCTGGCATCTGTGCAGAAGCAGACTGCCACATGAGTCTTTCTCCCACCAGGCGGCTGGTGGGTGGGCTCCCACTGCTGCCCCTCGCTGAGCCGCTGGGCCCCCAGGGCCCCCTCTGTACACGGAGGCACCCAGCACACCCTCAATGCCACTGTGTTCTGAGCAAATGACGCTGTCTGTCCAGGGCTCAGTTCTTGATAGACACTGCAAAGCTCCCAGCCCCCAGAGCTGGCAAGTCAGAGAGGAACGGGGAATGTTGGATGTGGTGTTCTGTTCTTCACAGAGAGCAGTGAATTCCCACAGACACGGCTCAGGGAGGGCCCTGAATCCAGAGGCGGCTGCCATGTTTCTTCTGACACCCCCACCAACCCCCCCTTCACACACCCCAGAACAGAATGACTGTGTCCTTTCTCTGTTTTCAGATCCTCTTAACAGTTGCTCATTTTTTCCCACCGGGCTCTCCCCACCCGGCCCATGTCTACATGGCACGCATACCCCCTCCCTCCCTCCCTCCCTCCCAGACTCTGCAGTCCTGAGGCTGAGGGCTGAGGTCTGGCTCCCTTTCCCCCAGCACCTGCTACTGGCCCCCTCAGATGTGGCCGGATGGGGCACCTTCATTAAGGAGTCTGTGCAGAAGAATGAATTCATTTCTGAATATTGTGGCGAGGTGAGTGCTCTGGGCTTGCCCACAGTGGGGCACTGATGGAAACCTGAGTTTCTGAGGGCCCAGTGCTGGCGGTCCTTCTCTAAATGACTCAGCTGTGGGTCCTGGTCCAAACCACTGCCGATCAATTCTGGGCGGCTCAGCCCACACAAGGAGGCAGGAGGGGAGGGGCTCTCTTCAGCCTGAAAACTGGTCAGTCTGGGTGGGGACTGGGACTGAAGCCCCTGACCCCCTGAGCTGGCGGACAGAGAGGGGCTCTCTCACTCAGGAATCTTGACATGATGTTCAGTAAGCACCTATGTGTGCCATGGCCAACCCCCAGCCCTTCCGGGGGCAGGGTACCGAGCCTGCCCCTTGCCGACAGCCTGATAACCCTGTCTGCTCCTTGTGTCTGTCCAGCTCATTTCTCAGGATGAGGCTGACCGGCGCGGGAAGGTCTATGACAAGTACATGTCCAGCTTCCTCTTCAACCTCAACAACGGTATGGGGCCTCTCTCGCCACAAGGTGGTCTTGGGCAGGTCTCTGGGCCCACTGCCCCCGCTGCAGTCCTGGTTCAGCTCAGCTCAGCACCTTCCCAACAGATGCTTGGCGCACGCACGGTGCTGGAATAGAACTCAGAGTCCCCACGGCCGAGCTCACTGCTTTGGGGAAATTTCTATTTGGGGGTTGAATTGCAGTTGGAACATGGAGCACAGGGAACTCAGAAATCCCCATGCCCAGAGAGAGGAAGATGAGCTACCAAATTGCAAAGGGGGGGCTCACAGGCAGACACAAGGCTCCCCCCAGGGTGGAATTAGGCTCCATGCCCTTCCCCGCCCCCACCCCTAGTTCCTGTGGTCAGTCCTCAGAGTCCCCATCTGACTGCTGGGCTGCAGTATCTGCGACTTGGGTTGGAATCCGGCCTAAGCAGCCGTGGGCGTTGCCTGACGTGCTCTTGGTCTGCTTCCATGTGCTGTGTACAGATTTTGTAGTGGACGCCACCCGGAAAGGCAACAAAATTCGATTTGCAAACCATTCCGTGAACCCCAATTGTTATGCCAAAGGTGAGTTCCCAGGGACCTGGGGGTGGGGGCTCATTTACTTCTGTGTCTCCCCATTGTTCAGAGCTGAGTGGGGCTTTTTGTTGTTGTTTATTTTAATGTAAAGATCATCGTGGTTGATTTCTGAAATTTTTCTAGCCTCTTTCTCAGTTTCATAATCTGCTTTTTCTCCCCACATTACATGAGAAGCCTTTCCCTCCTAAACCTGAATCTTTGTCAAGAGAATTCTTTCCCCATAGCCCCAAATCACCCATCCAAGGTCTTGGGCAGCCACCATCATGACTGCTCTGGAGTCCCACTGGAAGTGGGGGGATCAGCCCAGCTCCCGCTGAGGGCTCCAGAGCAGGGCTTGGCATTGACTGGGAACCTGCCCTTGGGTTCTCCTGTTTGCAGTGGTCATGGTGAATGGAGACCATCGTATTGGCATTTTTGCCAAAAGGGCAATTCAGGCTGGTGAAGAGCTCTTCTTTGATTACAGGTGAGGCATCCAGAAGTGTCCCAGGGAGATGGTCCTAGAGACCCCGGCGGGCAGGGGCTCTGGCATTTGATTCGGGAGGGCTTCAGCTGGCAGGATAGCTGTGAGGCCTGAAAAGGTCTCTGTGTTCGGGGCCCCAGCACCTGCCGTGCAGCTTGTCCACAGCTGTGTTGGGCAGTGGGCGGGGAAGTGAAAGGGTGGGGGGGGAGGCCATCTTGGCAGTGGAAAAGCCTGGGGGGTAACCTGGTTCCTCCTCCCTTCCCTGGGACAGGTACAGCCAAGCAGACGCCCTCAAGTACGTGGGGATCGAGAGGGAGACCGATGTCCTTTAGCGCGCCGGGGCCCCAGGCCACCGCCTCTGGTAGCGGCACTGTCTCTGCTTCCGTGCCCACCCACTGCTGCTCAGGATTCCTGCACTGTGTGTGTCCCAGGCCGAGAACCCCAACCCCCCCCCTCAGCCCCCACCCCGTAGGGAGGCCTCAGCTGTGTTGAGTGGAGCCCCAACTGTCCGCAAAGGGAGGCCGGCAGCTCGGGCAGGGCCCCCAGGGGAGAGAGTGGCAAAGTGAGGTTCAGAGGACGTGTGCTCAGCCTGGGGGTGCGAGGCGGATGCTTGACTTCTGCGGGCTCAGGGAGACATGCAGGCACTAGCCTGCCCTCTGAGCTTTCCCCTCCTGGCAGCACTGTGCCCCCAGGGCTGAGGGGGGCTGGCTTGGAGACAGGCTTTCTTGGAGCACAGACACAATTCTCCCTCTCCTTGGAGCCAGGTTTGAGGAAAGGCTGGGCAAAGGAAAGCTAGGTGCCACCCCTCTATGGGTGGGGGTGGGGGTGGCCAGGCTATAAACTTAGGGCCTGGGAGGTCGTGAGAAAGCCGCCTCTATGGAGCAGGTGCTGCTGACCTGACACCCCCATCCTAGGGCCTGGAGGTGCGACTCCAGGCCAGAAGCTTTGTGCTGCTGCTGAGGAAGGTGGGGTGGGGCTGGGGGTGCAGTCCTGGCCTGGCCCAGGGAGCCACTGCCGCTGAACTCTGCAGGCCAGGCCTAGTGATTGGCTTGACATGCTTTCCTCCCTGTGCCACCTGCTGTGTTGAGAGGGGAGCTGGCAGCGTGCACTGCACAGGTAGGTGGATGAGGGGCCACCTAGTGGCATGTCCCCAGGATGACGTCCTTTGGAGGCAGTGGAAGATGCAGCCCGTGGAGCCACCTCTCGTGCAGAGCAGAGCACTTTACTCCTTCTTGTAGGTCTGGAGACCACGGGGTGGAACTTGAGCTCAGGTCGGGGGGGCCCAGCTCACATCCCACTCCTGAGGGAGGGGAAGAGGGAGCAGGGAAGATCCCGGCGTCCCCACATCTCCCGGCGGAGGTCCCAGCAGCCATGGCCGTGGCTGGTGCTGAGCCTGTCGGGAAGCAAATGCTGGGCTGGGGCTAGATAGACTTGGATGGGGGCAGGCTGACCTGTTCGTCCCTCCCACCCCACCGCCATCCCGCAAAGCAAGAAGTGGGGCTCCTCCCCAGGCTGACTCCGAGGGATTTTAGAGGGCCTCACACATACTCGCCCTCCACACTTGTGCCCTGGGCACGCTCCAGCTGCCGTCTTCCCACCTGCTTGGGCCAACACCAGCCAGACCGCAGAACCCTGCTTCTGCCCGGGTTTGTGATGTGTGTCCCCACCGAGGGTCCATAGCAGACTGGCCTGGGAGCTCTGAGTCACTCAGAAACCCTGGTTCCAGGAGCCACCGCACCAGGTGCCCGTGGAGAAGTGGCCAGGGAGGGGTGGTGGAAAAGGAAGTCGCCACCCCCAGCCTTCCCACCCCACCCCCGCTGGATCGCAGTGATCAGCAGCCCCCACGCGTTTCAGACCCCCAGTCCTCCCGTTTCTTCTCCAGCCCCTCTTCCTTTTTCTGCTGCTGTCCCTCCCCTTAGACGATGGTTCCCAGCCCCCCACTCCCGCACACTGCAATGATGGGCCGGAGCACGGGTGGGGCTGGGGCGGCAGTCCGTCTGTGGCTTTATTGCCAGTGAATCTCACGCACTTTACAGTCCTGTGGCTTGTGACCTCTTATCTGAATTGAATAAAGTGGTAGAATCCATCGCGACTAGTGTGTTCTGTCTGCTCCGGGGCCGGCAGGATCCAGGGATGGTGGGACTGGGGTGGCTCCAGCAGGGCCCACAGCTTGGCGCCCCCCACCCCCACCCTAATCCCTGAGACCTGTGTGTCCAGGAGGCCGGCAAAATTCCTTCAGATGATTCTGGGACTGTAAGGGCTCCTCTCGAAACGCCTGAGCCCCCCCAGGCCAGTTCCCTAAACCCTCCCACTTGCCCCCTCCCCACGACGCCAGCCAGCACACAGAGAAGGCTCTGCCACTCTGCCTTTATTGGAAGGGCTCCAGAGTCTGAGTGCAGCCGGCCCCGCCGTGCTCTAGGGAGGGGGCCAGCAGGACTTCCACTTCCAGCGAGCGGACTACTGACTGGGCACAGCACAGGACAGTCAGTTGTTGTGTCTTTTCCTTTTATATATAAACTGAGAATTAAAAAATTAGAGTACTATATAGAGTTTCTCTAGAGAGAGACTTTGCAACAAAAAAAATATATAAAGACTGTGACCTCCTGGGCAAGTGAAGCAGCGTCTGAGTGCAGGACAGGCCCTCATGCATTGGGGCAGGGCCAGGCCTCGAGTGGGTCAGGCACGAGGCTGTTGCATATCTTGAGAGCGAGCGGGTGGAGAGCCGTGGGCTGGCTCGTCAGCATGTCTGCCTTCTCTAGCTTGCAGGGGTTGCTATGGCTTTGGCTGAAGCATATGAAGCAGCGGAGTTGCTAAGGTGCTAAACTGAGGCCTCTTGGCCTCTGTGTGAAAAACAAAAAGGCGGGGCGATATAGCAGTGGGGCCCTCCCTCACCCCCAGCTGAGTGTAAGCAGATGGGTGACACTCTGCAGGGCAGGGGGGAGGCTGGGGGATGATTTAGCAGCCTCCTCCCCCCATGCCCTGTTCATCCCTACAATCCCACACATCTGTCCCTGCTGAGATTGTATCTTTGAAGGGAGGCGGTTAATCTCCCCTACACTCTGTTATTGCTCCCTGGCAGCAGCGGCTGGGACAGGAGTGGCAGGAAGGGCCTGCCTCAGCCCCATGCGGCTTCTCCTTTGGGGCGGGCGCTTGGGGTGGGGGGTGGAGGGGATGGCAGGGACAGAGATGGGCAGGGCATTGGTTTAGGCAGTGAGGCTCGGCCACTCCCTTTGGTCCCATCTGTAGCTCTGCCGACCACCTGTGGCAGAAGGGGTATCTTCTAGATGGGCAGAGCCAGCTAAAAAGAGCCAATGTCCCTGCCAGGGTGGGGTGGAGACAGGGGTGAGGAGAGCCAGGGAAGATGGACTTGGTCCCTGAAGCCCTCCTCATTCATTCAGACCTGGATTCCTCCAGGATCTGGGGTAAGTTCTGGTCCCGAGGGGCCGGGCCTAGGGCTGCAGGGGCGGGGGTGGGAGCAGGGGCTGGAGCTGGCGGGGGTGCTGGGGCCTGGACAGAGCCTGCAGTGGGGAGGGGAGGCTTGCTGCCAGGCTGGTAGTCATGGCTGCCCTTGGGCTCGTTGGTGTGGTAGGAGCCCTTGTAGCGATGGTTTTGCAGGTAGAAGAGCACCAACATTCCCACCAGTCCCAGCAGCAGGAAGGCCACCAAAACTGGAAGAGGAAAAGGAGGAATTCAGGACTGGTGTTGAGTGGCTCTGACTTATGTATAGGCATAAGCTTCCATTGCGCTCAGCTGGGCAGCTACGTCTAGCTATTTCTAAGTCCCTGGCGGGTCTGAGTTCCTGACCTACCATACTCTATCTCTGTAGCCCTGGTAGCCAGCCCAGTTCCTCATCTCTCCAGTTGGGCAGCAACCCCCCACCCCTTCCTCGTCCCTTACCTTAGCTCTCGCCCCATTTTGATCCTGCACCTCAGTTTAATGCTCACAGCCCCCTCCGACACGGACAGTTCCCAGCCCCTTAGCTGCGCCCTCGCCACCCCATACTACCTTCAGGGGTGCCCACCTCACCAGCCCTGGGGTAAAGGCCAGGGAGGCAGTGCTGGGTGAGAGAACAGAGTGCTACTCACAGCCTAAGAGTATGGCCACCCATCCATCGTCGTGGTAGTACGGGAAGTCTGCGGAGGGGAAGCACCCCTGAGGTGAGGTCAGGCCCTTCATTTCCCGTCATCCCTCCCTCCAGCTCCTGTGTCCCAGGGATCTACCTGGGGGCAGGTACCAGGGATCAAGCTCAGGGGGCACCTCTGAGACAAGGCGTGGCATGGCACCGCAGTTAGACTCTGACAGTTCTCCCTGGACTCGAAGTGCCTCGGCCAGCTCGGCAGTCACGGGCCGAGGGGTCCGGAAGTGGGTCTTGAGGGGAGCCACATTGTTGAATCGAACGCCCGACAGGCAGCCCGAGAAACCTGGTGTGTTGTAGCGCTGGATCTCTGGGTCAATGATGCCGGTCTCTGAGGGAGGGAGCCACGGGCCCAGAAAAGAAGGGGTCAGGCCACTGCGGGAGCCCCCACACCCTCGCAGTCCACTGTTCCTTGAGTCTTCTCCCGGGGTGTCCTCTGCCCACCCCACCTACCCACAGCTTACCCATCACACGCCCCAGATACAGGGCCTTTGGTGAGTCCAACTGACTGTCCACCAGCAGTGAGAACTTCTGTTCTGTCAGTGGGAAGTAGTCCACCTAAGGGTGTGGGGGGGTGCGGTGAGCAAGTGGGGCTCGGGCTGACGCTCCCTCTGTGCCCACTGGTGGTGCCACTGCGGGCGGGTGCCAGCCCAGTCTGCAATCCGCAGGGCTGGGAAGTTTTTCGAAAGCAAAGTGGATTGGGGCCGCCGGTCTTGGCAGCCTCCTGGCTGGTGAGTTTGGGCAAGAACACCTGGCAGGTTGAGCCCGACCAGGACTGATGGTGAAGTGGCGAGAATTAAGAACCCCTCCTCAGCCCAGCGACTTGCCAGCTACTGCGAGGGTCACGTGCGTTTTGAGAGCGTCTCCTGAACGCTGCACTGGACAAATCCTCGCTAGGTTCCTGGGTGCCCCGCCCTAGACCTTGAGCTCAGGCCCGGGGCCCGCCGGTGCGTACCTGGATGAACAGGGTGCGGTAGACCCTGGTGATGTTGACGCTGTGTGGCTGCCCATCTGTCACCGGGCGGGTGGTCAGCTGGTACATGTAGGGGCTGGTGCCCAGCTGGTAGCGCAGCTGCAGGGTGCCTGCAGAGTGGAAGGAGAAAGCGAGACTCTCCTCCCAGCTCCCACCACCCCTGGCTCCTAAGAGCTCACTTGGGCCCTGGTGGCAGAGAACCCACAGTCCTGGGAACAGAGGCGTCTAGGGGAAGGAGAACCCACAGTCTGGGGGAAGGGGGCGGGGCGGGGCAGGGCCCTCACCATCTTCCTTGATGAGCACCGCCATGTAGTCCTGCACAAAGGAGCTGACGTACAGCAGCACCGCAGGGGCCGAGCTGGTGCTGAAGCTGAAGGAGACTTCCTCTCCAGTCACGTTATACACCGGGCCGCGGTAACCGGGCACCGGCCGGCCCGGCCGGGGGTAGTCCGGCAGGCGATACCCGGGGCCATGGTGCCCAGGCACGTAGCCTGGAGTGTCATAGCCGGGCACGTAGCCAGGCTCGTAGCCCGGCACTGGCCGGCTCAGCATGTGGGAGAACTCCTGGGCCGCTGAGCGCAGTGCCGACTGCAGGTTGTAGCGCATCCAGGTGCCAGGCTCGAAGAAGCCGCCGATATCTGCGGGCGAGACCAGAGCCTGCAGGGTCTCCCTCCCAATGCCAGCGGTCCCCACATCCCCCCTCTAACACACATCCCTGTTGTTGCCACCGAGATTCGATTTGGGTCCCTTGACGCTCCTCCCCCTGAACAAAAGTTTAGATTCTTGAGAAACTTAGAGCTGTTGTCTAGACTGAGTGTGGTGACGTGTACGATACTGCTCGACTGTGATGGAACCACGGAAGGATAGGGTATCGCTATTAGCTCGCAATGACATGGTTTTGAAAGGGGGAAAAAAAGGAGATCATCTAATCCCCTGCCTCTACAAAAGGGGAAACCGTGAATCCGAGAGGGTTAGCGAGTGGCATGGAGACACAGTAAGCAGAGAGTCAAGATTAGCATCGGAGAGCCTGACCCCAGCCTGGTGTCCCTTCTGTCATTCACATTTCCAAGCCAAGACCAAAGGCCTGCCCCTAAGGCAGTGGGTCTCCACCTCCCTTACGCCTCGACCCTTTCAGACAGCTCCTCATGTGGTGGTGACCCCCCAACCATAACATTATTTTCATTGCTACTTCGTCACTGTCATTTTGCTACTGTGATGAATCGGGGACCCCTGTGAAAGGGTCGTTTGGCCCCCAAAGGGGTCAAGACCCACAGGTTGAGAACCACTGCCCTAAAGCCTTGTATACCCCTCATCTACTGGCCCCTTCCCACCACTAGCCAGCCTTGAGGGCATCGGACCGGGTTTACGTGCTACGTAGAGCAAGGCTCCTTAACCCACCACCAGGTATGTTTTTCCAGGGCATAGAGACTGCGAAATACGAAACGCCTTGCAGCCGGGGCGGGCACGTCCACGAGGCGGTGACAGGAGGGCAGGTGATGGTGGAGAGGGAAGAACGTGGCCCAACATCTTCCACTACCTGACTCCCCAGCCCAGAGCATAAGCCCCCAAGGACGACTCTCATTTTCCCCACGCTGACTTTCACCCTCCCTCGCTGCCCGCCCACCCTGCAACCCATCCTGCTCCCTGGGGTCCTGTCCTGCCTCCCCCTGCCCCCGACCGGCTGCACTGCTCACCATGGTTGCAGTATGGCCCCTCGAAGGCTGTGAGCTCACAGTCGCATGTGTAATAGCTGTAGCGCTCCACGCAGCGGCCCCCATGGGAACAGGGGAACCGAGGGTGGGTGCAGCGGCCGGTGCAGTTGGGGGAGGTCCCCTCCGAGGCATTGGCACGGCCCTCCAGGTTCAGAGTCGCGCCATTCAGACGCATGGCCCGCAAGCAGCCCACAAAGGGGCGCCTCTTCAGCTCTGCAGACCCTGGAAAGGAAGTCGAGACACGGGGTAGAGCCAGAGACAGGACTAGGAACTAGGGTGGGGCGGGCGGCTCGCTGGCAGCCAGCTCACTTGAGTGTTGTGAAGTCCGCACTAGGGAGAAGAGAAATCAAGGAGTCGGGGAAGGGTAAACTGGCGGTGGGGTGGTGGTGGTGGTGGTGTTGTGTTTGAGTAGTAGTTTAAACTATGGAATACAAAGTTGATCATCTGAAATGTACACCCCCACCTAATTTACTGAAACATTGGTAAAAAAAGCTGGGGTTGGGGTGTGGGCTGGGAAGGGAGCTGGGGGGCGAGAAGGGCTGGCTATGTATGATACTAGGGACTGGATGGTACGATGGTGGGAGGGGTGGGGGCATTGAATCTACGCTAAGGAGCATCGGGAAGCCAGGAGAGCAGCCTTGGGAGGGTGGGAAGGGAAAGGAGGCGTCCGTGCTGCCCCTGGGGGGCCGCTCACCCACATAGAGGGGCTGATCATACTCCAGCCAGATGTAGGTCTGTGGGGGCATGGGCCGAAGCACCCAGGGCCGGTGATCCACTCGGAGTCGGGCCTGCTTCACGTTGATTTCTGCCCGGACCAGGTGCCACTCATCGTCGTTGAACTCAAAGTCATCGGAGCGCACTGTCAGGTTCTCATCCCCGTTCCCCACATCGAAGGCGAACACCACGTCCCGGGATGCTGGACAGTGACGGGGTGAAGGGTGGGCGTGGGATCAGGTTGCCAAGATGCTTAGCGATTCCTTGCTCAATGCACCCTCCCTTCCTCCTCTCCTTGGCGCTCCTCGAATGGCCCTCTAGTTTGTCTGCAGCTGGCACCAGACCCACTAACTGCTGAAAACCACAGGCTCTTGCTCTCTCCCAAAGGAACAGACCCCAAGAGTGAATGTCCCAGGCGGCCATCTCCGGCTAGAAACAGAGCTCATCAGAGCTGGGAGGGACCTCAGGAGTCCAGCCTCCTCCATCACAAGCAAGGGGCCTAAAGTCTGCAGAGGCAAAGTGGGTGCCCAAGGACCCAAAGCTAGCTCTCAAGACAGCTAGCTCTACCAAGAACAGCGAAAAGCAGCTGTGAAGGGTGCTGTGTCACACCAAACCCTTGGTCAGATGGGGCTTTCTTACATTGGAGGTTTTAGGTCACAGCTACATGGGACATCCAGTTAACCGGTCCAGTATAGTTAGTGCTTCTGGTCTATAAGTGCCGGGGGTCCTACAAAGCCTGTAAGCAGCCCCCCAAGTCACAACAATTGACCTCCATGTGCTTGGAGCTACCGAAGGAGAGTCAGAAATAGGGGAGGAATGGGATGTGTGGTGAATTACCTCAAGGAGCAACTACTGCCTCCTTTGCCAGGAGACCGAGGGAACTGGGTAGTGCCCCGCCACCCGGTCTAAGTGTTTGGATTACAGGGTCTACAGGAGAATACTGGTCATGGAGGAAAAATGCCCAACGGAACTTCCAGTTCTCCTGGGATCTAGACTTCCTGGAGTCACAGCAGGTAGACGAACTCCTAAAATTATCTACCCAAGATCAACTGTAAACCAAAACATATCCCCCGAAGTCTTCTTAAAGCTGAACCCCAGATTAGCTGCACACTAAGTAAAGAATGAGAGCCTGGGGCATTGTGCTCTGTTAAGAATGACCTACACGGGAACATGTTAACAACAACTTGGAGGATTCAGTGACAGCCATCGGGGCAGTGGCTTTGAGTTCATGGGGGAGGATGAGTCGAAGAACTTCAGCGGTCAGTGTCGCTGACTCATGCTGGTAGAAATTGTTGAATCAGTGCGTGCTTTGCCGTGTACGTTCTCAACAGCAGCAAATAAATTTTTTTTTTTTTAAAGCAAAGAACAAGAGCTAGCCCCAGAATCCCTGGTCACCTAAAACCCTTTCTATGCAGTCTCTCTCCCAAGGGCATCTGTCCTTGCCTTTCACCCCCGTCCCCCAACCTCAACTCCCCAGTGCTCTCCCCATCTCCCCTGTGTCCCTCCCAGGGTCAGCCTGCTCACTGTTGAGTTCCACCCGCAGGTAGGGCCGGCGCCACTGACAGTAAGGGCCCGCTATATTCTCTAAGAAGACTCCAGAGGGGGCCGAGGTCCTGAAGTAGAAGGAGATGTCCAGGCTGTGGTTGGCACGCACTGGGGGGAAGCGCAGTGTGGCCCCCGTGTGGAAGGAGATGGTGTTCCAGGAGTTTCCTGCAATGCCAGGCGGAGGGAGGTCTGTCAGGAAGGCTAGGGGGCAGAGGGGTAGGGGAGCCAACGGCTGGGGTGGGGGAAGGTTGAGGCAAGGAAGCTATACAGCTGAGGGCAGGCTGGGAAGCAGAGTGACTGGCAGCAGCTGGGCCCTCTGACTGTGAGTCCTGGAGGGCCCCCGTGGGTCAGGTGACCTAGATCTGGGCCTCCACGGGAGAGGCAACCCCCGAGAGGGCACACACAAGGGGGCTGCCACTCACGGTCGCCGTAGCAGCGCAGAGGCCTCAGGAAGAACTGGGCTTCAGAATTGGAGCGGTTCGTATCCCCCACCACCAGCTGGGTGACGGGCAGATGGTCCACGAAGGTCAGCAGCCCCTTGTCAGTTCTCCTGTGGGGCGGGTGCAGTGACTCAGCCCTGCGGTCCTCTGCTCCCCTGGACCCTGAAAGCCCTGCTCCTGCGCCCTGCTCACCACTGGGGCTGGTCGGCATCGCAGTTGCAGTGTAGGGCCGGGTCCACGCAGCTCCGGTCCAGACCACAGGCGCAGCGCTGGATCCCAGGCTGGGAGCCTCCCCAGTAGAAGTGCTGCTCCTCATTTCGGCCAATCCAAAAGCTGTAGGGGTAACCACCTGTGCAGGAGGCGAGGCAGGGGGCAAGCTGTTACCAGGCCCTCCGGGAGCCTCCAGCTTCCTCTCTCGCCCTTCCAAGCTGCCTAGACCCTTGCCTGCATCTCTGGCCCAGGTTTCCTTCTCCCAGGCCCCCGCTGCCGGCCTCTTGTCCAGCTGCCTGCCTTGCCCTCCCGGACCCCAGCCCTGACCTGCAGTGTTAAGCAGCCTGGAGTTGTAGCAGGAGAACTCGATCCACTGTTCACAGTGCTGGGAAGCGTTGGCCAGCGCGCTGACCTCCTCCCAGGATGCATTCCAGTACTGGACAGCGCCCAGGAAGGGGCGCTCCATGCTGGATCCTGTCACCCTTGTCGTCCACAGCCTGTCATGCCGCACCACTGTCCACGCTCGGTTCTCTAGGGGGAGAGCTTCGGCTGGAAAGGGGCATGCACCCTGCCCACCTCCATCCCACAGACGTGGCCAGCAGCCCAGCCCTGGGCCCTGGACACAGCAGGACAGAGAGGGGAGAGCTGGGATGGATCAGGAAGCCGGGATTTATCTGCAGGGCTAGGTTACAGATGCCGATGCTTACAAAATTCCTGTACCCTCACCACAGTGTCCCCTGACTGGCCCTGTCTACTCCTCCGTCCTTCCCTACAGCCCCGGCCCCTGCACTGCCTGGTCACCTGCCCCAGCACCACAGCTCAGAGCTACTGACCTCGGATGTCACAGTAGACAACAAAGGGCTTCAGAGGGCCACTGCCATCAGGATCAATGGTAAAGTTCCCAGAAGTTTTCCCACTGAGCCGATAAGCCTCACAGGATTCCTTATACAAAGCTGAGCGTGGTGGGGGTGGGGGTGGGGACAAGGCCGTTCCAGAATGAGATCTCTCAAAAGGCCAGCGGCATCACGTCCTCCTCCCTCCTCCTGACCTCCCCAGTCCCGACTCCACCCTCCACCGCCTCTGGCTTACGCTGGTGGCAGGTCTCCCCCTTGTAGCCTGTCAGTTCACAGTAGCAAATGAAGTC